AGTCGTTATCAAGAAGGCCAACGGCACGATACGTATATGTGCTGACTTCTCTACAGGTCTCAACGCAGCTCTAGAACAGCATCATTATCCTCTGCCAGTCCCAGCAGATCTGTTCACTATGCTGAATGGGGGAAAGTTCTTCGCAAAGCTTGACCTAGCTGATGCTTATTTGCAAGTGGAAGTCGATGAAGCATCTAAAGAGCTGCTTACTATCAACACTCATCGCGGTTTGTTCCAGTATAACCGTCTACCTTTTGGAGTTAAGACTGCCCCATCTATCTTCCAACAACTAATGGATACTATCCTGTCAGATATTTCAGGGGTTGCAGCTTATCTCGATGATATCTTAATTGTTGCGAAGACGTTAGAACAGCTACGGGAACGCACGACATTGGTACTACAACGCATCAGTGACAATGGTTTCCGGTTACGCCCAGAAAAATGCCAGTTTCTATTGCAGTCGGTAAAGTATTTGGGATTCATCTTTGATGCCGACGGTCGCAGACCGGATCCTGAAAACATCCGAGCTATCAAACTGATGCCCACTCCCACTAATGTTTCCGAATTACGATCTTTTCTCGGTTTAATCAGTTATTATTCAGCTTTTGTTCCCTCGATGCATGATATTCGCGCTCCATTGAATTGTCTACTGCAGAAGCATAGCACATGGAACTGGACTAAAGAGTGTGACGCGGCTTTCGGTAAACTCAAGTCTATAATTAGCTCGGAATTGTTATTAACACACTACGATCCATCCATGCCGATCATCGTAGCAGCAGACGCTTCAGCATATGGCCTAGGTGCTGTTATTTCATATCAATTTCCAGACGCGTCGGAAAAAGCCGTTATGCATGCATCCCGTACACTGACCCCAGCAGAAAAGAAGTATAGCCAGATAGAGAAAGAAGCTCTTGCCCTTGTGTTTGCTGTTCGCCGTTTCCATAAATTTCTGTACGGTCGGAGATTCACGCTCCTCACAGATCACAAGCCTCTGTTAGCAATATTTGGTTCAAAGTCTGGCATTCCCGCCCATTCTGCAAATCGTCTTCAGCGATGGGCCTTGGTACTTTTGGGGTATGATTTCGAAATCCAATATCGACGTACTCTACAATTCGGTCAAGCAGACGCTTTGTCACGACTCATTAATGATCAAGTGGCGGCTGAGGAAAACATGGTGATCGCATCTCTGTCAGTAGAAGACCACGCAGAATGTTATCTGACAACCGCAGTTCGCGCATTACCGGTGTCTGCAACAGACATACAAAATGCTTCTAGAAACGACCCCATCATCAAGATGTCGATGAAATATGTCACTAACGGTTGGCCGTCGAAAAAGTTTGAAGGTGACATGAAACAACTGTATCAGCGGCAGGATTCACTATGCATCGTGAACGATTGTCTCATGTTTGGTGAAAGAGTAGTGGTTCCAGAATCCCTTCGTGCAAAAGTTCTGAAACAGTTCCATCTTGGTCATCCTGGGATTAAACGAATGAAGTCCATAGCCAGGAGTTATGCATACTGGCCTCACATGGATCAACATGTCACAGCGTTGGTTGAAAAATGCATCCGGTGTCAGCAGGCGGCAAAGATGAATGCCAAAATTCCGCCGGTTTCATGGCCCAAACCTGAGCATCCTTGGTCCAGGATACATGTCGACTTCGCTGGCCCAATAAATGTAACTATGTATTTAATTGTCGTCGACGCCTTTTCTAAATGGCCGGAAATCAGCCCCGTTATGCCGCCCACTACAACTAAGACTATACAGCTCCTTTCTGAAATTTTCTCACGAAACGGCATACCAGATGTGATCGTATCCGACAATGGCTCTCAATTCACCTCTTCCCAATTCCAGAATTTCTGTCAACGGCTAGCCATTAAACACTTACGCTCGCCACCATACCACCCGCAATCGAATGGGCAGGCGGAAAGGTTTGTGGATACGTTTAAAAGAGCACTGCTTAAGTCAAAAGGGGAGGGGACGCCAGCCGAAGCATTACAAAATTTCTTGTACGTCTATCGGACAACACCAAATGAATTGTTACCGGAGCAAAAGTCCCCAGCAGAAATCCTGATGGGAAGAAGATTGAAAACGATCCACAGCCTGATGCATCCGACTAATGCACCCTCATCAGTAGAGACAAAGCAGCAAAGACAATCCGCTTACGAAGTAGGATGCCCTGTGTTTGCCCGCGACTACAGAACGAACCATGGTCCTTGGGTAGAAGCGAGAGTGGTCAGAAGGGTTGGTCGAGTTATGTACGAAGTAGAGGTAGGAGGTGATAAATGGTTCCGTCATCGGAATCAGATACGCAGACGGCTAGCCCCAGATCGCCCATCAAGAGCAGAAAGCCTTCCCCTTGACATCTTGCTTGATACCTTCAACCTACCGAGAGCCCCGCCACGAGAAGAAACTCAGCAGCAAGCTGTTCTTCATTCCCGAAGGTATCCCCTCAGACAGCGGCGAACAATAGTCAAGATGCAAGTCGACCCCAGGAGAACAAGCTATTAAAAGGGGGAGGAGTGTTGGGGATGTTAGATCCCCAAAATTCGCTTGATAATGCCGTATTTCGGTTTTCACGTTTCGCCAGCATGGGCTGATCAGATGACCTTGAGATTTCAATTCCCACCAGCAAAATCCATGGCTGTCATTGGCTGCTGTGTATTTTATTATGCTATTTTCTTAACTGTGTCAAGGACGTTCTTATGTCGTATAAATAACGAGAGTTGTATGCTTGATTGTACTGTGATTGCTGGGTGTTTGTAGAATATACTTTCTACGCTTACAAAGCCTTTTCAATTCAGCCGCGGATTCAAGGTAGCCTCCCTGGAAGCTGGTAAAAGTCTCGTTCGCGTTTATCGACTAAGGTAAACTCGTAATAGCCTCAAGCATACTAAGTGACGAACTTATCAACAAACGTCTACCAAAACATCCATCTCAGAGAAAGAAACTCCATCACATTAACATGAGGTTATAATCATTTCAAGCTTGAGGGTGAAAACCGAGTAAACAGCGCTGTTGTTAGGAAACAAGTATCAAGTAGGGATTGATGAAGTAGTGAATCTTCGCCAGTTAAGGTGGTTGGGACATGGTTTATGTATGCTTAACCATCGGATGCCTAGAAAAGCAATGTTTTTTAGTGTAGGGGTTAGTAAGAATAAAGTTAGGGGCGGCGAAAAAAAAACATGGCACAAACCTATGGGTCAGTCAGTCAGTCAGATGCAACGTAGATCTTTGTACATAAGTACATCAGTCCATGTTGCCATACCACATCAGCACAGAGATATAATTGTCAATTCAAATCCAATAGTAGTAGAGGTAGTAAGGGAATTAGAAGTAATCGGAGAGGTTAGGGTTAGAAGATACTATTCAAGAAGTATGATTCAGTGAGAAAAGTTTGGAGAGTCGAAACTAGAGGTGTTGAAGAATCCAGAAGATTAGGGTTTGAGACCTATGAAGTCACTGATAGCTGGATTGAGTCATGTTGGGTCCGCAAAACGATACTAACCGATGGTTAGAGACCTTGAACGACATGGCTCAAAATCGTTTGAAATGGTACAGGTGCATTCATTATTTGTGTTCTCTTAAAGCATAACTTTCTGGATTTCTCATCCTCTCTGTCTTTCGCTTTTTAAATTTATCTCACTGAATTATACTTCTCGAATTATATCCTCTTACCCTAATCTCCTCCATTCCTGCTAATACTTCTACTATTTCTACCACTATGGGTTTAAAACTGACAGTTGCGTCTCTGTGCCAATGTGGTATGGCAGCCTGAACTTATGTACTTGTTAGGATATTTATCCAATATCTTAAGAGAATTATTGGTCTATTCCAATTGGTCAATTCCTACTGGTCAATTTTATGGTCGTCCGAGATTTCAATGTCACGTGATCCAATGTTGTTTATTATTGGTTGTCTTGACTATCAATGTCACTTCAAATGTTACTTTCTATTGGTCGTCTTAACTGTCAATGCCACAGAATTCGGTGCTGTTTCCTATTCGACCGAAATCTATAAATACGCATTATCGGTGACATTTTATGACCACGACCAGGGCTCGGTCCCGGATCCCTAGTCCGGGATCCTGATTCTCTTCCGGATTCGGACCTCGTACTTTCTGGATGCTTGTAGAATACAAGTTCTAATTCATACCAAGTCTTCTTATTTTTACTTATTATGGGGGGGGGGGGCTGAGATAATTGGATTTGAGTAGTATGTCGTGTCACCGGATCCTCGCTCTCGTTTTCCGACTAGGTAAACTCGTAATATTTCAAGTATATCAAGTTGACGTGTTACGTGTAGGCGTAATAGTACTCATGTACGAAGTTCTACGTTGTAACTGTCTGTCTGTCTGTCTAGCTTGAGGTTTTGTGGAGATTATTAAAGTTGTCAGACTTTATATCTGAACTTGATCTTACTTAGATAACCATTGAAAATCAAGAAGTGTATTGAACGACCATTTCGTTTCAGTATGAAAATTTTCAGCAATGAGCATCTATGATTTCGCATCCAAGAATCAAACACAAAACCTTCGATTTCGCAGACATCCAACGGTATAAGTTAAGGCCGTAGTTACAAAAATCTACTATAATAAGTATTTTTATATACGATTCATTCGGGGCATAAGACAATCTAAAGATTAAGTCGTCTATGAGTTCGTTGTCTCGGTGAAAAAAAATTCCAAAGATGAAATCTACTCACTTCTTGTAAATCGAACTGATCAAAATCTATTGCGCACAAAACCACTAATAAAAGTATATATTTTACAGTAGACTATTATGGTGGTCATGAATGAATCGCTGTTAGACCAACATTAGAAGAAACCTGGAAGCACTGGATTACCGTTTCGTCCTGCTATGAGACTCATCAGCGATGCGCACCGAAGACTCTCACTACTCACAGAAATCGAACCGACGCCAATCGAGGTGTTCATAATTTCAAGGTAATATATTTATTGATATTCATAAAATTAAAAATCAATAAGATATTCATTAATTACCATTAGAAATTGTGTACGTTTCGGATCCATACGTCCATTCATATCGGCTAAAGCACGTGACAATTCCACAGCTCGATCACCAGTTACCAGACATACTTCAGTCAAAATAACTGATGGTTCATCATTCGGATTTGTTTGGTTATTATCGCCGGGCATTGGTGGACCAGGTATAGGTCGAACTAATGGCAAAGGTGTACGATCCACATAAGAACGTATATAACCAGCTAAATTAGCTGGATTTAAACTACGTGTTAATGATTCATAAAAATTAGCTACATCAGCATTTTCAACTAAACCCTAAAATAGAATAAAAAGGAATAATAGAAAATATGTTAAAAGTAGTCAAAACTAAGAATTTTCTAGTTTTTGTTTTAGGGTGTAGTGCCTCGCTTACATTTAATTTGGTTAAGTAAGCCCTTTCGACTAATTTATTTAATCAAGCCATTTGTATTGCAACAATTTGTATGTACCATTCGTTCTTATTATTGTCTGGTTTGTATGAGCTCACATGACATGTCCCACTTGTCATTTGACCTTGTCAATCATTCGTCGCTTTTATTCATGTGTGTGCATGCCTATCTCGTTGATCATATGTCGTCTTATATTTGTCTGACTCCATATTCTTAGTCATGCTCTATCTCTTGGAGTTGGCTCATTAGCCTTCTCCAACGCGCTTCACCTGTTCATTCGCTTCTTTCGCTCATTCGTTCTCACTGTAATCTAGGGAGTTGGCTCAACGGCCTTCTCCAATTCACGTGTCTTTATTCGTTTTATTCACTGCTTCTCCGCTTCGCTTTGTGGTGTATCCCAAATAAACGTATTCATCACTTCGAGTTCACCTTCTGATTTATAAACCGTCAGACGCTAGTTAGTAACGATTGTCTGGACGAGCTAATAACCGAGCTTAAGAACACACAGTAAATCGGCACACTACAAAAGTATTATGGAGATCGTAGTTTTACTTTGAAATCATGAATGAATCATTTTTAGACTACCAACACACTAGAAACCTGGAAGCACTGAACGACCGTCAAGTTCTGGTATGGGGACTCATTGGCAGTGCGCATTCATGACTCCTGCCCCTCACAGGATTCGAACACAAAACCCTCAGTCTTGCGCGTGAATGCCTAACCTATGGACGACTGAGTCGGTATTCAACGGTGTTAATGTTTAACTCCGATCAATCTAAGGATTTCGCACAACCTCACCCTATGTCTTCGGTAGTTACTCTCTACACCCGACAGCGTTGCGCTCCACTAGTCATACCTTCTCACTAGAACTCCGAAAATTTCCTCATGAAGCTAGTCACTAGTATCATTACATCGTCAATGACTTGTGTTTTTTTTTTACAATATCACTGAAAAATATTTACTTCTGTATTCCGTTTATCGTGAACACTAATTCATTGAATAAAGTCTGCTAAATTTGAATGTTTAAGAAGCTATAACTGAGAAATAGAATGTAGCTTATCAAATACAATCTAAATTCATTTACATTGATTATTTAACTCTCCTTGTTGATAGTTAGGACCATAATTGATCAATCTCCTTTGATAGATGTACATCCCATGAGGATTGCATCGATATTGTAGTTAAATCATACCACATTAGCATATTAGCAGAGATGGATAGTGGCTAGCACAGGAATCCAGGCAATATGAATGCCATTCGCACAAGATACACATAAGTCAAATAAGACTGAATAACTGTGGGCCTAAACATCATTTCAAAGACTTAAATAATCAATAAAAATGAATTAAACTTCACCTGATGGTACGAGAGTGATAGGGAGTGAAGTAGTCAAGCGTGTTGACCGCTTCACTTATCTGTGGAGTCTCATCAGTGCTGATGGCCTGGTGACTGACGAAATCTCACCACGGATACAGAAGGCTCGATTGGCTTTTGCCAACCTGCGTCACTTATGGCGTAGGCGAGATATCCACTTAATAACCAAAGGGCGAGTGTACCGTGCAGCAGTTCGCTCCGTCCTACTATACAGATGCAAGACTTGACCGTTAAGATTAGGGGACTTCCGTAGGTTACTAGTGGTCGATCATCGATTTCTCCAAAGCACTGCTCGTGTATCATGGGACAACCGAGTAAGCAATACTGTCGTTAGGAAACGAGTTCTAGGTAAGAATGGCAAATCAATAGATGAAGTAATGAAACTTCATCAGTTGAGGTGGTTGGGACAAGTGTTACGTATGGCTAACCACCGACTGACGCGAAGAGCTATGTTTTGAAGTGTGGAATAGGTTGGAAGGAAGTTAGGGGCGACCAGACCAAAACATGGCAGAAATCCATGAAGTCATTGACAAGTGGACTAAGTCATGTTGGTAGATGCAGACTACCTGGTTGGGGTCCGCCAGACGATAGTCACCGATGGTAAGAGACCTTGAACGACATGGCTCGAAATCGTTTGCAATGGCTCAGGTGCATCCACTATTTGTGTTCTATGAAATTCTAAGCTTCTGAGTTCCTCAGTATCTCTATCTTTCTCCTCCTAAATTTATCTCACTGAATTATACTTCTCGAATCATATCTTCGCTCCCTAATCTTCTCCATTACTGCTAATACTTCTATTATTGCTATCACTGTTGGATTTGAAGCGTCTCTGTGCTGATGGGGCATGGCAACCTGAACTGATATACTTACGTACGATGTTCTGCGTTGTACCTGTCTGTCTGATGGTACGAGAGAATGGCTATCTGTACTCATTAGCTAAGTAGATAACGTGATAGCGTTTAAAGCGAACGGTGTTTAGTTCAAGTTGCGGAGTGAACATCAATTCTATGATGCAGGTAAATCCAGGTAAAGTAAACACCAGTCGCGAATAGGACCAAACGCATGTCCCTAGATTACACTGTTTAGCTACTATTCATCTATGCTACTAAATTGGAACCTCACTTTCTTGTAGTGAATTATAAAGATAATAAATCCATTTATTGACATACATATAACTTATTGAATAATACTAATAGCCTAATTATAATCTGTAATGTATACAGATATGTCAAGCCCACATAACTTGTCTCAGCTTACAACCTTGGTTGTTTATACTTGAGTGTGGTATGTGCATTGCTTACTTCGCTAAACACATATCTGGCCTATTTTTATCTACTTATAAATACTTAATCTTCTCCACATCGCTTTGCTTTGGTTTTATGCTTGTTATTATCTTTTCTGTCCGCATGAACCATTGCATGAAATAAAACTCATTCAAATGAATTAGTATTTCGCTTCTTATTACCGTCGCGTCCAGTCCAACAAACGCAGTTCGCCTTAAGTATGATGAAAGTGAACGAAAGACTTGCTTTTTATTGCTTATTCTATTTATATGATATATTGAAGCTAGCAATTAATGATATCTTAAATAAAAGAGTTACAAGTTCAATGGTTTATTTTTTGGGGATCAATTATAATGTGTGATAGTGAAATATGAAAATTTGATTGGTCAACGGATTCGGATGGACAAACAGAAACTTTATGATGATTTACTGACGATTAAATACTCCTAGTTAAATAATTATGATAATTATATATATATATATATATATATATATATATATATATATATATATACACAAAACAATTATTTATCAATATTGAAAACTTACAAATCCAAACCAATGCGCTTCTAGTTGACTCATTAAATTATCAGTTAGTACACCACGTTCAAGTGCAGGCAAATCTGACCAAACATTACGAAACCATTGATAATAACCATGAGCGGATGCATTTGGATTGATAAGAAACAGACCCAATACTTGATCAGGATAACGAAGCTAAAAGAAAAATTTTATAGATGCTTCTTTATACTACTGTAATAATTTTAAGTAGTGAAAATATATATGTGAGAGATATTGCATATCACAACAAAAATATCGCAAAATTGAACAGAAATTACAAAAAGATACTAAATTGAATCTGTATCAAAAAAGCAATCAAGAATAAAAACTGTAAGTTTCGGCTAGTCCATTTAGTCTGGAGACCACGGATAATCCAATCAAACATTTCAGCTATCTTTATCTTAAGTATCTTAGATGTTATAGGTTGTAGAATACCTGGACGCCTAAATAGAGATCGTGAAGAGCAGACTCGAGAAAACCAGGCTGGTTTCAGATTTGTAAGTGTTCTTTGTTTAGTATTTCAATGATTTACAAATTAGTAGCTTATTATTCATAGGTTACTGGTTTCGATTACAAGTGTTTTTAAGCACTGTTCGTAAATCCTAGGACATTGTAGTAAGCAATGCTAGTGTTAGGGAAAGGGTACTAGGTAAGGATGGCAGCTCAACAGATGAAGCAGTGAATCCTCATCAGTTGAAGTTGTTCGAACATATGTTACATATGTTCAACCACCAACTACCTGGAAAAGCGATGTTTTGTGATCTAGGAGTAAGCTAGCTGCAAGAGAGCTAGGGGCGCGACCAAACCAAAACATGGCACAAATCCATGAAGCGACTGGCCACTGAACTGAGCCATGTTAGTAGGTGTAGACTATCTGGTTGGGGTCCACGAGATAATCGTAATTGACGGTTATTGACTTTTGATGACATGGATCGGAATCGTTTACAATGGTGTAGATGCATTCGTTTTTTTGTCTTCTGTTAAATTTTAATCTTCTGGAGTCCTCATGCACCAATTCAATTGGCTATCTCAGCTCAGATGCAACCACTCTTTATTTCTTCTCAAATCCCAATCTTCTGAAATTCTAATCACCTTTATATTTCTGGTTTTTAATTTATTTATTGACTATAGTTCTCGAATCATGTCTTCCAGCCCTAATGTTTTCGATTACTGCTGATACTTCTACTACGCCTACTACTTTGGGATTGGAATTGACAATTGCATCTCCGAGCTAGTGTGGTATGGCGACTTGAGCTGATATTCGTAAGCAAACGGTTGTCAGTCAAGTTATTTCAAGCCTCTAATCACTGGTTACGACAATCACACGGACCACGGACCATAAAGTAAAACAAATCAAACTGTTGCTCAATAAACTGGTTTTTCGGTTAACAAACAGATATCTCTCTGAAGTCACAAGTGATGCAACTTGGCAAAAGCCAACCGAGCTTTTTAAATCTGTGCTAAGATTTTGTCAGAGACCAAACCATCGGGACAAATAAGACTTTGACGATAAGTGAAGCAGTTGATACACTAGAATATTTCTCTCCCTAGCATTCAGTCAAGCTCTGATGTAGGTCACTAATGGGGTGACATTTTGTATTTGCAGAGTGAGAACCGCATCCCGAACATGCTTGCATTGTTGCTGAAAGTGATCAGAAGACTCTGCAGTTCGTCAGCATTTTCATCGAAGAGTCCTTATCAGCTGCAAATTCTAAGCTAACAAATCAATCGCCCGACAGACAAACAGTCAATTTCGGAAAAACTACACTTCTTCCAAAAAATAATGAATGACATAAAATGAGTCATTGTGGACTTAAATAAGATTGTATGAAAAGTGTATCATATTACTCCGTTACACTCAATAATTGTATCGCAAACTTTCTTTTAACTGAAAATAATTATTAACATGAGATGTTCATGGAAATTAGTCACTTCGCCATGCCAATGAGGTTACAAATGTGACCTTTTCGATGATAAAAAGTCAATAGGTTTAATAATAATAACACACATGCACCAATGTTTTAAAAGTCTTATACTGGACTCTTGAAATAGACATGAATAAGCATGGTTTAATAGATTAGAATACACCAACGTCATACACCGAAGTTAATGGATTGACAATTTAGACATTCAGAATGCAAAGACGTGAAACATGATACAACCTGACACACAAAAAACAAATGCAGTAGAAGACAGCCAGTGTAGCAGCAGTGGGACTCAACATACACAATGGAAACAGCAATATCCTTCGGTACAACACAACATGTACCAACCAACTCACAATTGAAGAAGCTTTGGGAGATGTAGAGAGCTTTAGATATGTGGTCTGTAACATTGATGAGCAAGATGGATCTGATACAGACTTGAAGGTACGGATTGGCAAAGCAAGGAAAACATTTCTACAAGTGAAGAATATCTGGAACTCAAAACAATCACCAACCAACAAGAAAGTCACAATTTTCAATACATCCGTTAACAGAGTTCTACTGTATGAGGCGGAAACTTGGAGAACCACCAAAGCCACCATAAAGCAACTACCTACTGTGGGACAAAACTGTTGGGGACGTTAGATCCCCAGAACTCGCTCGATAAATGTCTTAATTTCGGATTTTATTCATAGGCTGATCGGTTGACTTTGAGATCACATTTCCCACCAGGAAAATCCTTAGCTGTGATTGGTTGATGTGTTATTTTAGTGTGCTATTTTTGTGACTCTCCCAAGGACGTTTCTATAATGTCTAAATAAACGCGATTTGTGTGCTTGAGATCATTGTGCTTTCTGGGTGTTTGTAGAATACACCTTCTACGCTATATCAAGACTTTTTCGTTAGTTCCTTTGTGTCAACGGATCAAAGTAGCCTACCCGCACACCGGTTCATTGTCTCGTTCTCGTTTGTGGACTAAGGTGAACCCGTAATAGTTTCAATCATACCAAGTGACAACCATAACAAAAACACACCAATTTCGGAGGAAGAAATAAAGAAAAAGCGCAGGAGGTATATAGTTGTGGAGAGCATCCGACTATGTCACAAAAGAAGTCCTCACTTGGAATCCTTAAAGCCAAACGAAAACAGGAAGAACACATTAAGCCGAGAATTCGAAGCAGATATGAAAAGAATGAACAACAATTAGATAGAACTGGAAAGGTAGGCCCAAGACAAAATAGGTTGGAAAATGCTGGTCAGCGGCCTATGCTAACAACAGGCAAATAACGTAATAGTCAAGTAAGTAATGATACAATGTGGAATAGTTTAAGATAAAAATAACCAATGAATAAACGATTTATTGTGATAACTTATTTATTTATTAATTTAAGGATGAATCACTCACTCACTGTTTACACCCTTTAAACAATAATTTTAAGTAACGCCCTAATACACATTTTACAATGTCAGGAGTATTATGAAAGCAAAGCCAAATTTTACTGAACGAAAAATGGGTCTAGTATCAGTTGCACAGAAGGAAAATTACCAGTGATTGAATTGAATAGTGTGAAGAAAATTTACCTCATAAACAAGTAAATCGATGAGAGAAAAAAATGTGAAATGAAGACAAACACAGTGTGTTTGAATACTTATGGCTAAAAAGAAGAATTCAATAAACTTTTAAATGATTAGTAAATGATTAATTACAATAAATGTAATTATTCAATTCACTGCCAGTTAACTTTTTAGCATTTCCTAAAGAAAAAAATCAAACCGCAAGGATGAATGTGTGTAGAATTTCACAGCGATCTATGCAATACACTGATAGTGTTTGTTAGTATGAGCGCTTCGGTATGTGTGCGTGTGTGTGTATGTGTGTGTAAATGCAAGATAAGCCAGTCAACAACAATGTAGAATTTCCTAAGTACGTACATCAGTGTTCAAGTTGCTATACTATAGTAGCACAGAGAAATCGGATTGTCGATTCAAATCCTATAGTAGTACAGGTAGTAGAAGGATTAACGGTAATATAGCGAAGACTGGTGTTTGAAGATATGATTCAAGAAGTATAATCAGGCGGAATAAATATAAAAAGAGTAAACAAAAGGTCATGAGGAATTTCGTCAGATTAGAATTTGAGAGAAGACAAAGAACAAACTCAATTGTACCACTACAAACGATCTCGAGCGATATAATTCAAGGTATCTAACTATTACTTACTATGGTTTCACGGGCCCTAACCTGGTAGTCGACACCTAGTAACGTGGTTCAGTTCACATGTCAGTGACTTCATGAGTTTGTGCTATGTTTTGGTTTGGCCATCCCTAGCTTCCTTCCAGCCTACTCCTAGAACACAAAACAACGCTTTTCGAGGTAGTTGGTGGTTGAACAACCGTAACACATGTCCCAACAACTTTAACTGATGAAGATTCACTACTTCATCAAGTGATTTATCAGCCTTACGTAGTACCCTCTTCCTAACGCGAGAGAATTGCTTACTCGGTGGTCCCAGTATATATATGAGCAATGCTTCATAGACACCTATACAAGATAAACACGTCATTCAACAAAAATTACAATCACTAACAGAAACGTTAAATCCTCCCTCAAGGGCAGTGATGAAAAGTCTAGTGTTTAAAAAATATTCAGGTTGAGTGTATCCATGGTGATAATCACCAAATGTCATCGTTGATAAGTAGGGTAAATCTATGAATTTTATAAGCAGTCAAAAATAGAAACAAAATTGTGAATGATTACTTTTGAGAAGTTTTTAATCAGAATGAATGAAATAATTTCGCCCCAATACGATCTAGTGCGTTCGAGAGTGGGAACAGTCGGTTTTCTATCTTCAAATACTCTCATGTGGCCATGAGTATTACAGTAACTATCAGTGAAGCCCTACTCACTGCCTTCTCGTGATATGATTATTGTTTACGAAATTAAGTGAACAGAAAGCAAATGTCCAGTCAGACCATTACCTGGGGTTGTTGAGTATGAAGAATCCACCTGGAAGAGTTGTTGCAAAACTCCCCATTTCAAACTAATTGTACATCTTAGCTCTAGGATCCTGATGGAACAGATGACGTATGAACTTATTGTTGATCACTGGGCAACCATGGGACTACATCCCCCTGACGCTATTCCACTGTCATGTGGATATAAACTTTAGCGCCAAAGGCTCAGGATTATGATTATTATTCAACTATTCACAGCTCGCATTGTTCATTGTTACATTTCAGTTGTTTATGCAGAAAACTAATGATTTTTGCCTGTGGTATTCAGTTATTCAAAACTCAAGACAGGGCAACAAAATAGCTATTTTTAAGTCAATAGATTCAAGTATGAGTTCCATGGTGTGTTTAAAAGGTTACTTGTGACAACAACAACAACACCTAAAACATTTCATTGGCTGAGTAATTAATTCGTCAACCGATTGATTAGTGATGATCAAAATCGGGAAGAAAACGAAAAAAATTCAGCGGGATCGATTGAATTAATTCGGTTTGCAATTAAAATTTATACTAATTTCACAGTCATACACACACGCACACACATAATAGAGAATGGAAAAGTTTAAACTTGTGTACATTTGATTTTAGTTATTTATTAATTTAGTTAGTTAGTTAGAAGAAGTGACTTTAATTAACAAGTCACGAAACAACATATAAACATTTCATTATTGCTAACTTTCGACCCAATTCTTAATTTATATGAAATTATCAAATCTGTTGGGGACGTTAGATCCCTAGAATTCGCTTGATAAATGCCTTAATTTTGGATTTCACGTTTGCCAGCGTGGGCTGATCAGTTGACCTTGAGATTTCATTTCCCACCAAGAAAATCCATGGCTGTGATTGGCTGCTGTGTATTTTAGTGTGCTGCTATTTTTGTGACTGTCCCAAGGACGTTTCTATGATGTGTAAATAAACGAGAATTGTGTGCTTGATTGTATTGTGCTTGCTCGGGTGTTTGTAGAATATACTTTCTACGCTATATCAAGACTTCTCTTTTGCAGTTTGAGGATCAAGGTAGTCTATCTGGACACTGGTTCATTGTCTCGTTCGCGTTTATCGACTAAGGTGAACCTGTAATAGCTTCAAGCGTACCTAGTGACGAACCTAACAAAGTCCAACAACAGTATCGATATCTATACATGTGGTAAGTTTCTGCTAGCGTTCAATTTCACAAGTTAAATGGTTAAATTGAGGAGCTGTCATTAACATTGTAGACAACATCCCCCTACCGCCTATTTTGTGTCAAAGTTATTCCACTAGTGTTATAACTCCGCCTGGAACCTCTCCAAAGGGCTACTGTCGGTCCCAAGACCGGATAAAGGATGAAGGTTGAGCTCGGGGTTGGCAACCTCAATCCGTAGAAAAATAACTCGCTAAAAAAATAATTCAAATCATTTTCACTCTGCCTCGGGAGTTAAGTCTTCATTCAGAAGAGTCATGACATCTCATGATGAAAGCTAAGTTCCTTCGGAAGTCACGAGGCTGATGCCCCTTCTGTAAACATTCTTTTTTGGGTAAATGAAATATTTGAAGATTATGGGAGATTATGTGTTGTATCGGTTCATTCCAATAGTATTCTTTGTATAACTAACTGGCTGTCAGCTTTGTCGTTTTTATTCGAATCTCTGATCACCTTGATTGTTTATTTTGGTTCATTTATGACCTTGTCTTTTCACTGATCAATAATCTATCGCGTATCGGTTCACAGAATGAATCAATAATCATGTGCCTTCTGACTGATAACTAGTTTGAATGACATGCTTCCAGGGATTTTGTCTAAAGTTCTTGGAGTTTTGAATATCCGATATTTTTCAATTAAATTCATGTCGATAATTAACCGAATGCACTGATATTAGCGATAGCATATAAGTCATAGAAAATTATCTCAGCTAAGATACTTTTCAAAAATCATAAAACATGGATAACAAGTTAAACAGTTGTCACTGATAAACATTTGATGAATATGAAACTAGAATCTGCGAAATTCATTACAGTTTGAAATAATACTATCAGCTGACAACTGAATGATCAAATCTTTACTTTTAAATCTTAAACTGCTAACAATGACCACTGAAATGATCGTAATTGTGCTAGTGGCTACGGGAGTTGCAAATTAGGACAAAACAATTGGTCCAATGCATGTGGAGTTTTAAACAATACCACATTTGACATTAAACGGTGACAAATACAATCTATAAATAAAATGGATCTCTACAAAAATTCATTTAACTAAACAAATGTTTGTGAGAAACTGGAATAAAAAAATATATGAGCCAGCGAAGCAGGAAGACCGACCAGACAACATTCTAGCCGAGGCAGTGAAACCAAACTTAACAAGAACTGAGAACATATTGCACTCTGTTGAGCAGGATTTGGGAGGAAAAACAAGTACCAACGGAGATCTCAGCAAGTATGAGAACTACAGAAGCATCATTCATCTCTCAGTACCGGGAAAACTCCTCAACAGAGTGTTATTGAACCGAACGAAAGATTCAATAGATGCCCAACTTTGAGATTAGCAGACTGGATTGCATAAGAATCGATCATATACAAACCAAACCGCGACATTACGGATCATTGTGGAACAATCAAGTTAATGGAATTCATCACTCTACATCAACTTTATTGACTAGGAGGAAGCATTTGACAACGTGGACAGGATGACACTAAGGAGGCTTCTTCAACACTGCAACGTGCCTCAGAAGACAGTCAACATTATACATAATCATTATGATGGATCAAACTACGAAACTGTGCACGGCGAACAGCTCACGGATCGATTCCAAATGAAGACCTGTATCAGACAAGGTTGCCTAACTAACACTTTCCCTTCAGAGGGTTGGTTGGATTATGAAGACGTCAACATCAGGAGGGAAGCACGGGATACGATGGACAACCAGGATGCAGTTGGACGATCTGGACTTCGCAGATGATCTAGCCCTTCTATCGCACACGCAACAGCAAACGCAAGAGAAAATGACCACTGTAGCAGCAGCCTCAGGAGCAGGAGGTCTCAACATGCACAAGGGAAAAACCAAGATCATTCAATAAAACACCACATATATTAACCAAAAAACACTTGACTGAGAAGCTTTGGAGGATGTATACAGCTTCACATGTCTCAGCAGCATCAATGATGAGGAATTTCGGTCTGATATGAAGGCGTGGATTGGCAAAGCAAGGACAGCAAGGACAATTTTCAATACAATTGTATGGGGCGGAAAATTGGAGAACCCCGGAAGATACAAATGTTTATTGATAGTTGTCTATGCAAGATACTGAGGATCCGTTGGCTAGGATAATACCATCAGCAACAACCACCTACTATGGGACAAAACAAACTAAATTCATGCAGAGGAAGAAATTAGGAAGATGTGTTAGAGGTGAATTGGACACATAGTGAGTAAAGCAACCAACTGTGTTACAAGCAAGGCAAGCGCCATCCATCACTTGGAATCCTCAAGAACAAAAGAACACGTTACGCCAAAAATTGAAAGCAGATACGAAAACAATGAGCAGCGATTGGACAGAACCAAAAAAAGGGAAGCCTAGGATAAAATAACGTAGAGGTATGATAGTCATAAAATTGAAAATTAACTTCAATTGGAAAGAATCGAATTCAATATAATAAGTGTATCAATTTCCTGTTTCTCTCCCTCATTATAAATATAAATACATATATAACTATTATTATTATTATTATTATTATTATTAAAATGAACTGTCAATCATCAAAAAAAACAAACAAACAGAAACTCACAGCATAACGAGCAAGAATATTTGACCCAGCTCCCATGCCAAAACCTAAAAAATAGTTTATCCTACATGAAAATGAAAAAAGGAAGAGAAGAAGAAGGGGAAAAGAGAGAGAAATGTAATGTAAACCAATAAAACTAGCAAATAAATGAAAAGAATAACAATTTCATAACGAAAAAAAAAACAAAACAAAACAAATAAAAGTAAATGTCAATTTTTTCAAATGAATTTAAAACACTAGAAACATCTTCAAACAATAATAACAATAATAATTGCAATAATAATAATAAACTTATAAGTTTACATGAAAATAAATGCATTCGAAAAATCTTATTACAAAAGTAGGGTTAGTGTACTTACTACTACTCTACACGAACACTGCTCATACTTGGTTATTTATTGAAGTTGAAAAGAAATTATTAGAATGATGTTGATTGAAAATTTAGCAAAGGGGGTACTATAAGTAGAAAAAGGCAAATCAATTGATGAAGTAGTGAAACTTCATCAGTTGAATTGGTTGGGACATATGGTACTACGTAGGCCCAATAACCGACTTACCACGAAGAGTAATGAATGTTTTGAGGTGTAGGGGTACAGTTAACTAGTATTCGATTATCGATTTCTTATAAATCATTGTCCGAATATCCTAGTGTGGTGCGCGCTACTTGTATGTAGTATATGACGCGAGTGTAAACGTAATGTCTGGCAGCAGAAGATGGGGGAAGATCAAGAAAGGAAGAGTGGGAACACAATGTATGAAACGCATGAATAGTGAAATGTCAGACAATGGATTGATGATGGCTTGAAGATTTGCAAATTAACCGTTTACGATATGGTTTTCCTATTTTACTGAGTTACTCTGTAATTTTCGTTAAATACAATTCGGTTGCCCTCACCTGTGTTCTCCTTCACTACACTAGGACCTGGGAGTGAGCATTGTTATTGTTAAGAATGGCAGACCAATTGACGAATTAGTGAGACTTCATCATTTGAATTGGTTGGGACATGTGTTACGAATGCTTGCCTAAACAACGACTGCCTCGACGAGCGATATTTTGTGGTGTAGGGGTAGACTGGAAGGAAGCTAGAGGCGGCCAGACCAAAACATCGCACAAATTCATAAAGTTACTGACAAAGGGACTGAGCAATGTTGATAGGTGTAGACTACCAGACTGGTGTCCACTAGACATTAGTAACCGAAGGATAGAGACTTTAAATAACATGCAATGACAGATTCATCCATTCTCCATGTTCTCTCAAATTCTGACCTTCTGAATTCCTCACCAGCTTTATCTATCTCTTTTTAAGTTTATTTCACTAGATTCTACTTCTCGAAACATCTTCGAACTCTAACCTCTGCGATTACAGCTAATACTTCTACTACCTCTATCTACTATGGGATTTGAATTGACAATTCCATATCTCTTTGTGCCAGTGTAGTATGGCAACTTGGACTGATGTATGTATGTACCAAGTTCTACGTTGTAGCTGATTGACTGATTAATGTTTACTGAAAATTGATCATTTCATCTGAATAAGTTTATCTCTCACTAAGGACAAGTCAGTCAATCAATTTAAATTTGAAAATTCAAGTGTTTCACACTTTAACGAAACTCACAAACAAAAACAAAAAACAACTACCACCGTTTGTCAATAATTGAACGAATAATTTGACAGAAATTAAGCACCTAATGTATAGAAATTATAGATTTGACTCAAACACGCTGGCGTTTAAAGCGAACAATATTGAGTATACAATAACCGGAGTGAATATCAACTCTGAGGAGTTGTGGACAGGGGACATATATATCCAACTACAGACGAGTTGTAAATAAAACGAAACGCATGTTCTGAATTCCACAGCTAGCCACTATTCATGAGATGGTAGAGAAAATTTGTACCTCGGGTGGATGATTGTGATGGTATTTCGTTCTCTGAGCTGAATGTTTTGATTGTTGAGCTTTCATCGTTCTTCTTCATTAGCACAAACTTCGGATAAAAGTGAAGTATTCGAATTTCTCAACGTTTGACCCGTACCTTGTTCTCTTACTCTCAATCTTGATTGCTTGTTGTTGACCTTAAGCCTGTCGTTGTTCACACCTTTGTTTTGATTGTATGTCCCTTTTGATCTGTTTCATGATCCTATGTCGCTTATGATTTTTCTGATTGAGTTGATAAACTGGGTCAATGCCGATGTGTTTATTGATTACTGATTGACCTGAGTACCAAGCTTCTAAAAATTCTCAGATGTTCTTTGTGATCCCTTTATCCAGTATTTCCACATTGTTCCAATAGAACGTATGTCCCTGATTGTCCGTGTGTATCGATATAAGCTTATAACAAAAGCGGGATACAATCAAAACAACAACAGGTTTAAGGTTAACAACAACCAATCAAGATCGAGCTTAACAGATCAAGCTACAGGTCAAACGTGGAGAAATTCGAATGCTTCACTTCTTCTATCTGAAGTTTGTGCTGATGATGTTGTTCAGAAGAACAACGAAAGCCCCACAACCGAAACAGCATCCAGCTCAAAGAACGAAACACCACACCCAGCCACTATCCTCCCTCTTTGTTGAGCAATAATTCTTAATTATGTAAAATTAAGTGAATTGTTTTAAAAAAATTATAAATCACACATTAATCAGTTGTGCTGCAAAAAAAAAATTCAAAACTCGACATTAACCCAGATTGATTAAGAGGTTAAGTGTCCTGGGTTCGAGTTCCAACATGCGCGCTATCGAGCATATGCACTACCACTGAGAATTCTCCAACTAGGATGAAATAGCTATCCAGTAATTTCAAGTTTTCAAATGGCGACCTATTTAAATCTACAATCTTTACACATATCCACACCATTGGGAAAACGCGTCAACAAGAAAGCAACAAACAAACAAACACATCAGTATCATTTTAATCAATAATCATGAAAACAAAAGAAAAGAAATTCACACACACACACAGAGAGAAAAATGTCACTTACCCAAAATGAACGAGAATCGATGTGATCATATCAGCCAATTGATCCATATTCGGATAACGAGATCTGATAAACGGAATAAAGCAAACAACAATGAATAGAGAGGATTAATGAATTCATTTTACGCGCACGCTCGCGCACACACCCACACACACATATACGTAACAGCAAAACGACAAACAATGTGTGTTTACGGGGGGTTGCTAAAAAAGCGTTCAGTTATTTTGTATTCTCTGGTTAGCTCAGTTATTACAAAAGACAATGAAAAACTAGCGCATCCTTCGAGGTGCAGGAGTCGTGGATGCGCACTGCCACTGATGAGTCCCATACCAGGACGAAACGGCTGTCTTGTAGTGCTTCTTCCAGGTTTCTAATGGTGTTTGTCTAGCAATCATCGATTGATGATTTCAAATTTGTAAAAACACAAATCTCCAAAACTCTGCCCGAAAATATTATTATTATTATCACTACTACCATTATTATTATTATTATTGTTATTATGACGTTAGACAACAAATTATCACTTATATGAAAAAAAGAAACCAAAGTAATGAGTTATGCGATATAACAGACAAACAAACATAAAACAGTGCAAAGAACTGAAATCATAGTAAATTTGTGAATTGTCTGTGATGAGTACACGTGAGTGTGTACGTGTGTAAATGACATATTTATGTGATATCAGTTGCATTTCGTTTTCCAGTTCTCCTCTCTGGCGTCATATGAGTTTGTTTTTTTATTTTTGAGGAAAAAAAGCCTATAATATACAACGTTTCGAGTCAATTTTCATTACAATCAATTTATTGAGAAAAATGATAAATGAGGGATTTGGTATTAGAATAACACTTTATCTCTCTCTCTCTCTCTACGTCTGATTCTGATTTAATGATCAGGTGTTTTGATGATAAACCGTTGTAATAGTTGCAAACTAGAAAAATTCGATTTTACAGTATAGTATGTGTAGGTTAAGTGGGATTATGACTTGAGAAAGTGAGTGTGATGAAGTAAACATCGTTTTGTTACACACACACAAACACTGTAGAATAGTAGTATCTCGTGAGACCAAAAAAAACGTAAACATTTTTTGGGCTTAATTATTTACGCAATGTCCATTGCTATAATTATCATAGCTTATCGATTTGCACAGGGCCCCCATGATCAAAAAATTCTGTGTCTGTGTTAAGCTGCCACCTCTGGTTTGTGTGTTATTTTAACAAGTTGGTTTTCTACAGCGTGAGGTAGCCCGACCCTCCTCCTCCATTATCCGGGCTTAGGATGGACAGTAAACGTAGAAGAACTCTACGTGGAGCTGTCACCTCAATGAAACACGAATTTTAAAACGAATTTTTCTGAATGTATGTTAACTGTTCTCTTCATTTGACTGTTTAAAACTTAGGAATTATAAACATTAGTACATAATTTTAAGCCTTAAGTTAAGAAACTATGTAAAGAACTTTACAAAGATTGTAACAAAATATATGTACACATAAGAGTTTTGATTTACTGTGGGAAAGAACAAACCAGATTCCAACGGAGGAGGAAATTAGGAAGAAGAGGTGGAAGCGGATAGGTCATACACTGCGGAAAGCATCCAAATGTGTCACAAGACAAGCTCTCACTTGGAGCCCTCAAGGTCATAAGAAAGGAGGATGGCCAAGAAATACATCACGCCGGGAAATAAAGGAAGATATGAGATGAACGAAAATTGGAAAGAACTGAAAAGGGAAGCTTAGGACAGAGTAGCTTGTAGAATACTGGTTGGTAGCCTATAGCTCCATTGGGGATAACAGGCGTAAGTAAAGTAAGTAAGCTTTTTGATTAAAAGCTGACCAGTAATGAAACCCAATATGAAATTGAATGTTTTTTCTAATATTAAACATTAAGTGTATTTAGAAAAACCTTTAAGAAGAAAATAAGTACTTTTGAAAACATGAACCGATCAATGTTAGACCACTGTTAGGAACCTGGAAGTACGTGGGAAAGTTTCTCCGAGTTCTAGCGAGAAGTCGTGACCAGCAGAGTTCAACCTTATTTGAGCGTGAATTAGTGCTCACCGAAGACAGTGGATGAGGTTGTGCAAGGTTGTGGATTGATCAAAATTAAACATTAATATCGTTGGATGTCAGCTCAGTGGTCTAGAGGTTAAGCATTCACACACACGACCGAAGATCCGGAAATCGAATCTTGAGAGTAGCCGAATTCGTGGATGCGCACTGTTGATGAGTTCCATACCCGGACAAAACGGTCATTCAGTGATTTCAAGTCTCTAATGGTGTTATAACATTGGTCAATTCATCATTTCAAAAGTAATTCTTTTTTTAATCCAAGAAAATCGGAATATCTAATTACTTGATATACTTGAATGCTATTACGAGTTCACCTTATTCGGTAAACGGAAGGAAGGTCAACAATGCAGTAACGCGATAGGCTATTCTATTCCGTTGTCCTGGGCCCTGCTAACTAGATCAAGAAGTCCTGATAAGGTGTAGAGAATATATTCTACATGCACTCAGAAAAAACGAGGTGTCTAAGATGACAGAGACGCTCTTGGGAAAGCCACAAAATAGTGTACTAAAATAATCTGTCAGCCAATGACAGCGAAGAGGGGGATTGTGAGCTGAAGGTCAACTGACGTGAAAACAATGAAATTCAAAATTTCGGAATTAAATTACAAAATTAAGACCTTTACCAAGTGAGTTCTGGGGATCTCACATCTTCAACATCACTAAATAAAGAGAAATCTTTTAACTTACTCCCTATATGACAGAATATAAAAATAGAAATACTGATTCGAATCGTGTTAATTATTAGGTTTTCTTAAAACTTTACTTATTATTTCTGTATGTCAATAATACTAGTCAAACAACATCATATATATCTCTACTCTACAAACAAAAGTTACATGACTAGTTGATTGAATGACTACTGTAACTGTTATGGCGATTAGAAACATAACAGAATGAAATCTACACAACAATTTCTAAACAAAATGAAGAATAGTGTCATTTTTATCCTAATTACAATCCAACTTGTGTTTTCGCAAGCATAATTTATTCGCCCAGGTAGATATTGTGGACGATAAGCCATAAACTATGTACACAAATCATTAGTCGTTAACGTAGAATCTGGATGAAATATGAGCAGATTCAAGTTGATTACACACGTACGCACACAGACACGTCGTTATATTAGCAGACTTAGAGAAATTCTTGAAAAAAAATTGAGAAGTAAATAAAAGAGTATAATAACGTAAGTTTTCATGAAAAGCCAAACACAAGAAATATATACACCTATATGGTTAGACAATGGAAAAGTTGCAAAATCTACAGATTATTCAATGTTTAGGAAAAGATAGAAAATGAAAGCTAACAGTTATAGTATCTAAACAAATGAAGACTAATGAGGTAGGTGTGTCTCAAGCCTAAGAGCCAAAGAATCTGTATTCGGCAATAGATGCATAATATAACGACGAATGGAGTTCCAGTATTTGGCCTTAATGCAAAGCTAAAGTACCGAATTTGATTCAACTGGACCAAACTAAATTCTTCCAAATGGCGTGTAACAAGTTTTTAATAAACTCCTATTAATTTATACTAAAGCACATAATTCTGTGTTCAGTTTAATCAGTTCCAAATTTATAAAACAAAAACGATATTCAATTAGAGTTATGGAGATTGATGTTTGTTGCACATTGAAATCATCCATCAACCATTATTCGAATCACGGTTCGAATCCTGAGAGGTGCATGAGTTGTGGATGCGCACTGCCACTGATAAGTCCCATACACGGACGAAGTGGCCGTCTTTCAGTACTTCCATGTTTCTAATGATGGTCTAAAAACAAACTATACCAAAAAACAGTTTGCACTGAATATAGTCAAGAGTTTCTGTGGCATAAAATAGTGTACTAAATACGTATTCTGTACTTGAAAATCAATAAAAAGTATTATCTCAACAAGATGAAGTCAAATAACTACATAAAAAAAGTATTTGAACAACCGTTTCCTGCAAGTAGTCAAAAGAAGCATGTTGTAAAACTTTGAATTCAGTCAGATGCAACGTAGAACTTCGTACGTATGTACATCAGTTCATGTTGCCATACCACATTAGCATAGAGATGTAATTCTCAATTCAAATCCAATAGTAGTAGAGGTAGTAAAAGTATCAGAAGTAATCGGAGAGGTTAGGTTTAGAAGATATTATTCAAAAAATATGATTCAATGAGAAAAGTTTAGAAAGTCAAAACTAGAGGTGTTGAAGAATTCAGAAGATAAGAATTTGTGAGAACACAAAGAATAAATGCACCGGCACCATTACAAACGATTTTGAGCCATGTCATTCAAGGTCTCTAACCATCGATTATTATCATCTCGCGGACCCCAACCAGGTAATCGACAATTACCGACATGGCTCAGTCCACTCGTCAATGAGTTCATGCATTTGTGCTATGTTTTGATTTGGCCGCCCTTAGCTTTCTTCCAACCTATTCCTACACTACAAAACAAAGCTCGACGAGGCAGTCGCTGGTTAGGCATACGCAACACATGTCCCAACCACCTCAACTGATGAAGTTTCACAACTTCATCGATTGATCTGCCATTCTTACCTAGCACCCGATTCCTAATAACAGCGTTGCTCATTCGGGTGTCCCACGATATACGAGCAATGCTTCGAAGACACCTATGATCGAAAACCAATAACCTACGAATATCTTCTACTCTTACTGGCCATGTTTCACAGCCACATAGTAGGACGGAGCGAACTACTGCGCAGTACACTCGTCCTTCAGTCAGCAAACGGATATCTCGCCTACGCCAAACTTTGAACTCAATCAAACACACAACCTTAATTGTCAATACTAACTAAGACAATAAAATCAACATCAACAAAATTAAAGCAATAATCATAAAAAAATAACAAGGTTAACTATGAAAAAAAGATTTCAACAAAGTCGACCCTACTAGAGAACATTTAAAAAAAAAAGATGCTGACAACAAAGAGTTGTTCTAGGTAAATTATATTTTAAATTAAAAACAGAGTGATGAAAGAAC